TGGTATATGTGGCAGTTATGTAATTTCCTGTCAACTTGAGTGAATGGGTGGAGTCTAGCTTGTCAATCAGATCACAGCCAATGATGACTCTGTGAGCATGGCCTTCTGCGGATTCTGGTAAGTCCTGTCTTCCTCCCTGGAGGCGGGACACACTTTCTCTCTCTCTCTGCCTTCCTTTCCCTGCTGTTGAAACACTCAGAGAGCTGTAGGAAACCCGTGGAGACCCATGAAAGCATTGAGATGCCTTCCACTGCCACTTGATCCACAAGACCTTCCAATCACTGGCCTGTGACCTTCCTGCATTCAGCATCACTGCATGTGCTGGGTGAGTCTGAAATGGAATTTATGGACTAGTATCGGACATATGGGCTAATATTGGACTTATGGACTTGATCTGGACTGGGCTGGGATGGTTTCTCAAAATACAAGTGCTCTTTTATACAAAGCTCTTTCTTACACACGAGTCTCCCTGGATTTGTTTCTCTAATCTACTTGGACTAACACAGTATAGGTCTGATCAATGAGACATAGGCATAAAAGTCAAATGGAGATACCACATCATGACCACACTAATAATATAAGAAAAACATTGAGGGATTCTTGTTCTCTATGAATTACTGAAACCCATGTTTCAATACCTCTAGATTTATTGTGTGAAGAAAATGCTTCCCATCTTTTTTAAACTACGCTTTTAGAGTTCCCAATATAATTCCTAACTGATGGAACTATATAATGAAAAACCAATGAGAAAGATGTTCCTAAATAACCATAAAGGCTAGTAAATGAATATTACAAGGGGACTTCAAAAAGTCCATGGAAAGTGGAATTAAAGTATAATGGAATTTTCCCACAAACTCTTTGAAGCGCCCTTTTATTTACAAATTGCACTACACTATTCTATCATGGAAATCAAAAATCAGAAGTTTCCTAACATTTTTTTTAAATAAGATTCCTCTGATGACATTAAAATGATGAGGTCTCCTATTTTAAAACTAAAGACCAAGACATGTATCTACATGCTATTTTTCTTTTTATTATTTTACGACTCTTGCCTGTTTATAGTCTTGAATTGTCCAATTCTTTGGATAGGAAAGAAATCTATAATTTTCCAACTTTCCTTAAAAAGACATTTTAAAATAGTAATAAATTCATTATACACAAAATGCCTGTATTATACACATTAATTTTCTTGTTAGTTTTTTTTTCTTCTCTTAGTGCTGTATTTTTTATTTTCTTTTAATAAAGGTGCAAGGTTATTTTTTAAGAAAAAATAATTTCTGATAGATTAGGCTACCAAGAAGAAAGAATCTATTCTTGGGATTTGGTTTAGATTTTTTATTTCAATGATAGACAATTCAATACTGAGAATGTTTTTAAATAGACAATTCAATACTGAGAATGTTTTTGAATAACTTTTTAAGTGACTGAGCAGTACTTGATAATATGTGCTTACAACATATATTGTGTTTGGCTAATGATATAGATGACAGCTTCCCTTGTTGCAATCACGAGTTCTGATTTTGACGGAAAATATTTCTTCTATAGAGAAAGCTATATAAATTTCAGTATTTATAGATCTTTGACTAGATACAATAAAAATAAATCGCTATTTAAACTTTATGAGACCATACATTTTGCTTATAGGTTCTTTACCTATAAGGTTCTTTACCTATATAGGTTCTTTACTCTATGTCCTATAGTTAACATGAAAGTCACTGGCATATTATGTATTTTAGTGTGACCTACTCTCCAATTAATGCTATCATTAAAAGTTATTATTTTAGGTCCCTGGATGGTGCAAATAGTTTGCAATCTATTACTAACCCAAAAGTTGGTGGTTTGAATCTACCCAGCAGTGCCATGAAAGAAAGACCTGAAGTTCTGCATCCATAAAGATTACAGCTAAGAAAACCCTGAGGAGCTGCTTCGTTCAGTTATATATGGGGTCACCATAAGCTGGAATCATCCTGATGGTGACAGGTGTGGCGCTTTATTTTCCCCTTCGCCCCTCAAAAGAGATGTACTTATTTACTGCTTTTTAAGAAATGCCTTGCTTAAACAGTCTATTCTTTGTAAGAACTCACTGCTAGAAGCTAATTATCTGAATACACCAAAGATAATGTTCTTATTACATGAAAAAACAGTTCTTCAACTACTGTGAATTATACTACAATAAATCAATACCTACTATATACATATATATACACATGTGCATATATATAGTTATATATATATTTAATACAAGTTGCCACACTGTATTAAATTTACTATCAGGCTATAAGGGCATATGGCCTGAAAAAGTCTAGTTTGAAAAATAAAACCTCTAGGAATTTTGAGGCAAAATGAGATTATCATCATTCAGTGCTACAGGGTTTCTACAATGTGAACTAGTCTGCTAATGTTCATTTTCAACAGCATAACATAAAGAAGGCAATTTATCGAATTAGAAAACTTCTCACATTGTGCACATTATGTGCACACTATGCTGTTAAGTACATGGCAAAAAAACCTCGATGCCATCAAGTCAATGCTGACTCACAGTGACCCCTTGTGGGTTTCCAAGACTGTAACTGTTTATGGGAGTAAAACACCCAGTCTTTTCACCCCCAAAGTACCTGGTAGCTTTGAACTAGCGACCACATAGATCTCAATCCAATGCGTAACTACTACACCACTCCTTGGTATATAGCACTATTAAAACCTGTTAGCTTCTAGTAGATTCTAACTCATAGTGACCCTATGGGACCCAGTGGAAGTTCCCAAAGCTGTAATCTTATAAATGCAGAACACCACTTATTTTTCTCTGGCAAAGCAGTTGGTGGGTTCAAATCAGCAAGTTTTCCTTCAGAGGCTAAGCACTTAAACCACTGTGTCACCAGACCCCCTAGTAACAGTATTGGGAACTTTTAAGACACGTCTAAAGTGGAGAAAAGTCAAGGTCAATAGTGCAATCTCTCTAAACTTCTAAACTGGGTCAGTTCCACTCTGTCCTGTTGGGTCACTATGAGTTAGAACAACTCTATGGCAGTAAATTTGCTTTAGTTTCACATATGCTACCTTATTAATAAAAGGAAAGGATAGGCTTCCATTAAAACATAATTTCATTACATACATTCTAAACATACAGGATACTATTTTGGTACTGCTAAATATAAAATACTTGTGATTCAAGCAAACTTGAATGACACTAATAGAATCACATCAAATGATGTTTGCTTAGCTTGAAACCAAGTACTAATCTTATATAAAAGGTGGCAAGTTTATAAAGATGTCCCCAAAAATAAAAAAAGAAGTTCCCATGTAGTTACTGAGTTATTTAAGTTTGTATTTTGAAAGGTCATAACTTTTGAAAAACTAAAATGTTCATTTCTGACTATATGTACTTTCAATTATACTATAGCTAGATTGTAGTATCACTTTGTATTTATTTCAAACTTCAATAATAAAAATGATGCAAAACAACAAATTATTCTGGCACTAATAAATCTAAGTTCAGAAATAAAAATGGAAAATCTATCCTTGCTAACAATGTCCACAGCTCTGTGCTTCACCTATCCTAAGACTCAACAAATTTTTTAGAGTTTGTTTAGCTATCTGTCTCATCATTTACAGTGAACTTGAGGGGAACAAACACTAGTTACCGTATATCTCCAATCCCTAGGATAGTGGACAGCACGCACTCCACTGGTGCTCCAAAATACTTCGAAGTGAATGAGTAAATAAAGGAGACCAGAGATCTTACCTGGTACTTGGGACACTGGTCTTTCATGTCAGAAGATGAAGTTGTGGAACTGTCCAGAGAGGAAGAGCTGTCTCCTCCAGGTTTCAGTTGGCAGCACTTCCCGAAGACTTTGACTTGAGCATCACTACAGAGCTTCTGGAATAGAGACGTTACTTGCATTTTTAATTTAATACAGTTTTCACTGTGTAGATACTTAATCATGGAATAAAAACCCTCGGGAAAAGAGAGGATAAAATAACTCAAAATAATGTAACTTTAATCTAACAAGCATTTACATATTACTGGATTTCTCTAGTCCTTTTTCTCGTCTTTGTCTCATTATTGGAAGAGTATTTAGAGAGCTTCTATTTGTTTTCTCACCAACACCATTTCATCACAGAAAGCTTTCTATACTGCTATAGCCCATACAATGTGCAACAGTTTTCAAATTCTTTAGTCATGAAATCCCATTAGGAGCTTAAAAATTACTGAGGACCCCTAAGATGTCACATACATTGGTTATGTATCTGTCAATCTTTTCCCATATTAAAAATTAAAACTGAGAAGAGAAAAATATTTTTTTTATTTATTCATTTAAAATAACCATAGGCAAAAAAAATAACCATAGGCTTATTACAAGTTATGAAAAAACTATTTTTCTGAGCAAAGACTTAGGGATGAGAATAGAAAGTAAAGTGAGATTTTGATGTTCAAACATTGCATTGTTTAACGTTCTGTGAATTAATCCATTAATTTGGATGTTATAGGAACATCATATGAAAACTTTATGGGAGTCTGTTTCCGGGCATCCTCATTGCCACTACTAATGCTGCTGGCAGAAGCCAGAAGAACAAGTGGGAGTGGCAGCTGCAGCGAGGGCAGAAGCATAATAAGCAAAAGGAGAGCTGTTTTCCCTTTAAAGCAAAATGAAACAAAACAAAAACCACCTTATTGGCTCATGGATAAATGCATGGTTGAATGAGCCAACTTTAAATGATGTATGCCAATATGTACACACACACACACACACAGCTGTAAATCAAAAGGTCGGTGGTTTTAACCCACCAGCCACTCCTTGAGAAAAAGATGTGGCAGTTTGCCTCTATAAATTAAAAAGAACAGACAACCAAAAAGTGGGTGAAGGGAGACGTCGGACAGGGCAAGATATGACAAAATACCAATTTATAAACTATCAAGGGCTCATGAGGGA